AGGGACTAGGCATGCTTGGACAAGAGTCTCTATTTCACATAATGTTTTTTAAAAAAAGAATGGTTAGACTTAGAACATGTAGTTATTCAACTTTAAGCAGGCCATTGACCTTTGACTTCTCTTTAAGAATTTCTTCCTATTGTTACATTTCTCTTAGCTAAGAGTCTATTTGTTAACTTTAAGTACTATTCATATGTTTATAAATCCCACATTGGGTGTGTATTTCATATCATAGGTATTTCCAAACTAATATACCAGTTATCCCTTCAGACGAATACCAAGTTTAATATAAGTTTAATTTTCTCTAATCCAGTCTCTTTGTTTATTTCATTATATGTTTTGAGGAAATATTGAAAGCATTGTTAATATGGGAAAATACAGTGATTGTTCTACAAGGGATTTAGTGATATAAACAGTCTATTTTTTCACCCCCGATAAGATATTTACTAGTAAACATGGTTGGCTTTTACTGAGCACTATTGGCTTCATAGTGCTCAGTAGAAGCCAACCACGTTTAAAGATACTCTGCCTTTTAGATCACTCATGCATATTTGATACTCAGGAATAATATTTTCTCAAATAAGAATGAAAAAATAAACATTTCAAATTGTTTGAAAAAACATCCTGGGTATAATTTTTTTTTAGGTTATACTTAATTTGGACATGAGTATGAACTAAAAGAACTACGGGTATGTTTTGTTATGTTTTTTTTTTTTATCTAACTGTTCTGTTCTCTCTTACCAATGTGATAATTAGTTTTTTAACTATTGAAGAAATATTGTTTTTAATTAAAAGCATATAAATTGATGAATGCAATATACCTATATATGAGGATGAGTGTTGGAAAATGGATAAACAATATAGTGTGAGAAAACTAAGGTTGTGTTGTTAGGGGAAGGGGCTTGAATTAGAGTATCAGTGACTAAGTCCCTTTAACCAAAGACTGAAATGGAGCAACACAGTGTTTAAGTTCAAGAAAAGTTGGTAAAATACACCCTTCTTAGATCAATAAACCAATATTGATTTGGTGTTTTATAAAAGTAAATTGCCTTTAATTCTAAACAAAATGTGGTCTGTACAATGAAAATTTATGTGACAATAAAAAGGAATGAAGAATTGACACATGATACTACATGGATGGATCTTGAAAACATTATGCAAAGTGAAAAAAGCCATTCACAAAAGACCACATATGGTATGACTCCAGTTATATGAAATGTCCAGAATAGGCAAATCCATAGAGACATAGAGTTCTTGCCAGGGTTTAGGGAAAAGGGTGAATGGTGATTGAGTGCTGTGGGTGCATGGGGTGCTTTTGTGCTGTGAGTGCTTTTGGGGTGATGAGAGTGTTCTAAAATTGATTGTGCTGATGGTGCTAATGATATACTAACAGACATTGAATTGTGTACTTAATTTTTTTTTTTTAATTCTCACGTGAGGATATTTTTTTCCATTGATGTTCAGATAGAATGGAAGGGAGGGAGGAGCGGGGGGAGAGAGAAAAAAAAAAATCGACAGCATGACAGAGGAACATTGATTGGTTGCCTCCTAACATGTGCCCCAACTGGGGGCAGGGATTCAACCCTCAACCAAGGTAAATGCCCTTAACCAGGAATCAAACCCGCCAGGGCTGAATTATGTACTTTAAATGGGAGAATTTTATGGTATGTGAGTTATCTCAATAAAGATGTTAAATTTGCTTCCTAGTAAGAGCCTTCTGAGTGGCAGACATGTAAGGCATGCTATCTAGTTTACTTCTCATCAGATGCTTGCAAACCAAGTTTATTTTCCTCATCTTGCAAATGAGAGAACCAGAGTTCTAACTTACCTATGTATACTGGCTGGATGAATGACTCACAGTTTGGCTTGCATTTCTAAGTATGAACTTTTCCCACTGGCTGTCTTGGTTTACTCTGTTTCCAAATTATAAGGCCTACTGGGGCAACCATTTGTTGCCCTGTTATCAGTTGTGAGTTAATTTACCTATGTGAGTAGAGCTGATGATTTATGGAGTAGGTGGAGCCCTGAGAAAGCTGCAGATAACCTGAGGGTACTGTCCTCATGAGTAAGGAGTAGAGGCAAGAAGTGGTAGAATTAACATGCAGTATCACAAATACTTAGTCCAACAATTTCTTTTTATACTTTGTTTTCCCCAATGGCAATTCAAAGAAAGAGAGAGGAAGAGAGTAGAGAGTAGAGAGTAGAGAGAGAGAGAGAGAGAAAGGTGAGGAAGTTTGAAGAAAAGAATCAGTGCCCAGCCAGGTGTGTGGCACAGCAGTTGAGCATTGACCCAGGAACCAGGAGATCACTGGTTTGATTCCCCTCAGGGCATATGCCCAGGTTGCGGTTGTGGGCTTGATCCCTACTAAGGGGCGTGCAGGAGGCAGCAGATCAGTGATTCTCTCTCATCATTGATGTTTCTATCTCTCTCCTCCCTTTCTCTCTGAAACCAATAAAAATAAATTTTTTTAAAAAGAAAAAATCAGTTAAAATTGTTTTTATTTTTAATGGACTTTCTTGAGCAGAAATTGGACCCCATTATTTTTGAAATACAGATGATAGGAATAGGATAAACTGGAATTTAAGACTAAAATTTCCTGTATATAGAATACAAATTCACCTTTGAAGACAGACTAAGCATTTGTTTTGGGGAAAGCATTTCAGTGGGCTCTTTGATTCTACAAGAGTAAAGAATCTCTTCTGAAAAGGGGAGTTGAACTTCTCTGCACTTCTCTCCACAATAATGTAATACCGTGTCCTCATTGTGGGTGGGATGACATCTCTGCATTTTATATTTCTTTTCAGAAAAAACCCCCACATAATTCTTTCAGGGGACCTTAGAGGGTCTATAGCCTAATATCCCAGTCAAGGGTTGGTGTTTAGGGGTTGTCTCATCTGGGAGAATTGAGCTAGGGCTACCCTACAACATGGTTATTGAAAGAGTTGATGAGGAGAGGGAACCCCCTTGAAAAACCTTGTATAGAAGCTGGGCCTATAAACTCTGAGGGTAGTAGTCAAGGATGACAGGAATATATAACAGGTTTTATCTTTCTATTATAACTTTTTTCCGCTAATGTCAAGCCTTTAGTTAAGTATGATTAACCACTGTAGCCCAGTCTTAACTGAGTTATGAAGGATGAAGGGACTGGCCTGTGAGCACTTTAGGGTGGGTAGCCACATGGAAGAGCCTGCTACCAAATGGGCAGGTGGGCTGCAGAAGAGGGAAGCAGCAATTTGGAGCAGGTTCAGCAGTAGATGTGGCTTCTAACAACAGAGACCTATTCGTGGAGAATCTGAGTATTCCCCAGAGATTCATAGAAACTGGTGAAAAGAACCCTGATAGGAAATAGACATCTTGAGGACAAGAGGAATTGGGTTTAAAGTCTGTAATTTCTAAGTTATATTATCCTAATATATAAAAAGCCAGGTGCCGTCACAACCTAAACGACCGGAGGAATCACCAAACAGCAGGCCAGGGAGCTGAGGAAGCAGGAGCTGTGGGCCCCGGTTGCCCACGGTGCGGCAGCAGGAGAGAGCTGTGGGCCCAAACGATCAAACGACCAACCAGTCCGGCTCTCATGGCGTGGCAGGGTGGGGCCATGGAGGCTGAGGAGCCTCACGGGGTGGGGGCTGTTAGCGCGGATCTTCCCGGGGCAGCTGAGGCGGAGGAGCATCATGGGACGTGGGCGGCTGAGGACGAGGAGCCTTGCTGGGCGGGGGCTGAGTGTGGAGCTTTGCTGGGTGGGGTGGCTGAGGCTGAAGAGCCTCGCGGGGCGGGGCTGTGAGCATGGAGGTCCACAGGGCAGGGGCCATGGAGGTGAGGAGCAATGCTGGGCGGCAGACATGGCCCTGATTGCAGCTAGGCCTAGGGACCCTAACCGCGCATGATTTAATCGTGCACTGGGCCTCTAGTAGGGAGATATAAAGTAATGGGTAAATAAGTATATATTTGTTAAGTATTCAGTTTCATCTATATTATCATGTGTTTCACTTCATAGGCAATAGATATCTCTTAAAATCTGAGCCTCTAAGTTGTTTGTGGCTGTTCTCGTTGGTGTTAAGTCCAAGAACAAGCTTCTGAGATGGCATTCCCAGCACTGGAAAGCTGAGAGCACATATTGCCATGAGGAAGTTACCTAATCAGGCAGGGGTTACAGTGGTCAGGGAAGACTTCTTGGTGGTTGGTTACTTGAACTGAGTGTGATGGAGAAATTAGAATAGCCATATTCTGAAAATGTTGGGTGAAAATAAGGACTTGACAGAGAAAACAGCATTCATATAGCACAGGTTGAGAAGTAAAGAGGGTAGTAAAAGAAAAAATAAGCCAGGGAGTTGGGATCTAAAGAACAGGTGGAACTAAGACTGTGTTGACAGGAGGCAAGAATGGGGAAACAGTTTTATCTGTACCAAATGGGAGCAAGATGGATGGAGTTCAAGTTTGTGGCTACTTGGTTGCCTTCTCTTATCCCCCTCCCATAGCAATGAATTGAGAGAAGGGCAAGGAGTATAAGGAATTGCGTGTGTGTGTGTGTGTGTGTGTGTGTGTGTGTGTGTGTAGGGGTAGATGGGGGATGGGAACAGAATGTTTACCTTGCACATACGTTTTTATTGATACCAAGATGAGGAAGTGGCACTCTGGTGTGGATCTCTGTTTTTTAGTTCAGTAAACTAAGGAGGGGCTTTCTCTTCCATATTCATCTAATTTAAATTTCTGCTTTCACAGTGAAGGAATAATTCATAATTCAGAAAATTCATAAGCGTGATAGAATTTAAACAGATTTTATTGACGTACAACCAGTAATGATGTCACCAGTGGATATCAATGGAAACTTCTTAGTTAAATATGTTAGTCTGAAAGTGCATATTTAAAACATTGAACAATTGACTCTACAGCAGTGGTTCTCAACCTTCTGGACCTTTAAATACAGTTCCTCATGTTGTGACCCAACCATAAAATTATTTTCGTGGCTACTTCATAACTGTAATGTTGCTGCTGTTATTAATTGTAATGTAAATATCTGCTATGCAGGATGGTCTTAGGTGACCCCTGGGAAAGGGTCGTTCGACCGCCAGAGGGGTCGCGACCCACAGGTTGAGAACCGCTGCTCTACAGTGTGCCAAGCTCTGTGTGCAGACATGTTTAATGCCCTACAAAGACTTTTAATTTACGGGGGGACGAAAGCAAAACCTATAATCAGAGGTAAGCTGATAATGCCATTAAAATGCCATGGGGATAGAGGGACTAAGATCAGAGCGAATATGAATAAACATATTTGAGCTAATATATCTTCCTAAATAACTTCTATGTCATATGCTAGAGGGCCTTCAATGGAAAACCCTAGGTAGAAAGACACTCTTTCTATGTTGCCACCACTTCTGAGTGGACCTGAATAAACAGATGTCATTGGTATTTTTATTTTTTTCTCTGTTCCATATTCAATAGAGATTTTCTTGCCTTCAGCCAGACCAGTGAGACGGCGCAGAAGGTCTTTGACTTCCTTTTTTTTCCACACATCTCCACTCTGCCAGAAGGAATTTATATTTTGTACTTTACTGAAGTACTGCTCTATCTCGGCCTTATGCACAAGACTGTTGAGACCTCTCTTTTTCCCTAGGTAGAAAAGTGTGCTTGGCTGCTTGGACCTGCACATGCTCCTGTACTGTCTCCTGAAGGATCTATATAAGGATGAAACATACCTTTCCATTAACTTGGAATCTTCATCTAGCTCTTCATTTTCTGGCCAGAACAGGAGGCAGGCCAAGAAATAAGGGTCTGGGTATGGGTGACTTAGTTCTACGAATTGTAACACTTCTCTGAGATGTTTTTTAAGTACGGTAAGTGGCTGAATAAACTTGGAATTGGGTTTTAGACAATTGAGAATAATGTTGGCCAAAATGAAATTTTGTTTCTCCTTTGCCAGCCGTTTGTTTGAATTTTCCTGAAAGAGAAAAGTATATTTGTTCACTATACTTTCCATAATGATTGCAGCCTCTTTGTGATTTGGATTAAGATATTCTAGAAGTCCAGAAAACCTGTCTGCTTTCAAAGCTTCTAAATCTCTCCTGCAATTCTCCTCTTGGAGTAACTGACTCTCTTTGCTTTGTAATGGACCCACATCCACATGGCAGAAATGTTCCCTATATTTACTGAAACAACGACTGATTTTCTTGCTTAATAAGATCTCCGCTATTTCTTTTTGGATATTCCTTGTTTTCAAAAGACCCATATAATCAGTAAAAAAGTCAAAGCACTTTTTCATATCCGGTTGTAAATTTTGTAAGTAGGAAGTGAACTTAGTTAAAGCCAAATAATATTCATTTTTTGGTTTTGTAGGAATATTCCTCTTTCCTGATAAAATTTCTGCCATAATTTTTTTAGATGATTCATTTTCTTTATGGAAACAGGGAGTGAGCTGAAGAATCTGAATAGTGTAAAGACCAACTTCTATTTCACCCAAGAAACCGGCTGTATTATACATGTCATATTTTCTTTTGGACTTCTGTAGTGACCAGGTCTCTGTTTCATAGTCTTTCCTATCAGTTTGCTCTTGGGATTTTTTGAAAGCTCTTGATGCATTTTCTGCAGCTTCTAGAAAATGTGTTAGATCATTTACAGTGATATCCCTACAGTTTTTGTTTGCATCCAACCACCATTTGATTTTACTTTTGTAGACCTGACCAAGTGTATCTGAGATATAGGAATTTTTAGGTGCTCTCTTTTTGGCCATATTTGCCCAGTCCAGAGCAGTGTCAAAGTTCTTCTCTTTAATATAGAAATGTCTTGCTAAGGCCTGACAAATAAATGCATTTTGTGGGAATCGAAGAGTTCCTTCAGTCAAGACCCTTTCAACTTCATCATTCTGTAAAGCTTCAATTAATGGAGAAAACAAAGTGTCTGTTTCATCTCCATACTCTTTGCGCTGTCTTGTAAGCAGAAGAGTTTGTACATCGTGTTGAAATTTGTCTCTTCCTATTCCAGAATCATAGAACAAATTCTCTTTTAATATCTTCAATGCAATTTGACATTTATCCAAGTGATAACTTCTTTCCAGTTCTTCTAGACAGCAACTGGCAATCAGAGGGTGAATGATGCGCACGCCTGCACATCCCCCATATTCTGCCACTTCTGTGTTGATTAGAAGTGTGGAATAGGTTCCCATCTTGTCTTCTAGGCTTTCAGGTTTCCAGGGTGTACTAGTGCCTGTGATTCCCAAAAATATTTCACACTGTGACACTGAAATTGTAAAGTCAGTAACATAAGAGTTGAGTAGAGCCAGGAAAGAAATGAGTTGAGCTTCCTTGCTGTCAGTATTCTGTCCTTTCTGTCCTTTTAGGATATTCTTGACTACATTTTCTATATATGTTTCATCAAAATTTTCTTTCATGATCATGAAGGAATAAAAATTTTCACAGTTCTTGTGTTGCTTTTCAATTTCCTCCAGTTTGGCTTCAAAAGCTCTTCGTTCCTTGGAAGAAAGTTGGTATTTTAGTGCAATACTATCTGCTAATTTTGCACTTTCATCAGGATTCTGGGATCTCATACAGTTTAAGATAATTACCAATGTTTTTTCATATCTCAAACCCTTCTCTACTAAAATGGAATGGATGGTATTCTGTAGAATGTAGACATTTTCCTGTTCTTCAAAATCATCTACTAGGAGAAGTACAGGAATGTAATCCTGATGGCTAGTTGCCTTATAGGTAATCAACTTGGTTACTTGTTCTCCAGTTTCTTCAAAGTCAGTTGCTTTGTTTTTTAACACAGCACACCTGAAGTTTTTCTTTAGGTCCCACAGAACATTCATAGCCAATGTAGTGCCCCCACAGCCTGGATGATGATAAAGATTGATAATTTTTACAAATATTGGTTTAGGAGACTCTGCACAACACTGTATTAGACCTTTAAGGTCTTCATAATTGTCTCTTTTGACAAAGGGTAAAGAATAGTTTTCAGAAGAAAAATAGAAGTTCCACCAGGATACTTTGCCACCTCGATAAAAGTGCTCTTCTTTTGTTTTCTTAAATTCTTGGAATTTAGATTCATTTTTCTCGATATCTGTGTCTTTACACTCATTTTCACAGAGAATTTCCAGTGCAGTCAAGACATCCTCTTCCTTTTTCTCTAGGATAACCGAAGATGATCCATGGGAGGGCAAAAACCTTCTTGATGACTGAGTGACTGGTTTTAGTTTAAGGATAGTACTGTTTATCAATTCTAAATTTAAAGTGGAAATACTATGGCTTGTTAATTCATCTGTTATTGTCAGTCTTGCTCGTAGTAGATCTTTCCAACGTTGATAAATCTGTGAGTCTACACAGATACACAGTATACTTTCCATTCCTTTCAGAGCTTGGTAGAAAGCACAGAAGGTTTCAATGAGTGGATCTCCTGGGCTTTCCACCAGAGAGAGTAATAGAAACACTACCAAAAATTTCCCTCTTATCATTAAATTTTCATCTGTGAGAAATAAAATCAGTTTCCGGACTTCAGAAGCTCTTTCTCTCTGCCATAAATGTGGTTCTAGAGGCTTATACCTCTCATCTTTCAAGTCTGATCTGCCATTGCAGAAGATCCAGCTGGGCTGATCGAAAAGATTCAGGCTAGAAATTGCCTCTCTTGTAGTAGTCTTTTCCTCATACTGATTTGGAAAGTGAAGGTTTGCTACCCGGCTTCTTTTGTAAGCTTTGGCCACCCCCTTGCTCTCAGATTCAGGATCAAACTCCAAAACAGCAAACAATTTAATTTCCTTTAGAAAATCTAAGTTCTTTGTTTGGTTTGGATGGCATTTATTTGTTACAAGAATGTACCAATTGTAGTATGAATTATCCAGTGACTCTCGGTTTCCTATGAGAAGTTTAACCAGCTTTTGTCCTTCACTCTCTTTCTTATTTGCCTTCCTTTCATATTCTTCTTCAGCCTCTTTTCTCGATACTGCTAGTGACTTGACTTTTTTGGTAAATGCTTTGAATTCCTTATCCCGTTGCTTGACATTGGCCAAGATATCCTTAGAGCTAGCTCCATCTCTCACAAACAGTGAAGCATCTTGGTTTTGTTTCCATATTTCAGCTTTACAGTTTTGCATCTTAATGTAGAAATATTTTTCTTTACATACAGAGTGTTTTGGAATGACATCTACTTCAATGACAAATCTGTCAGATGGTGTGTTGTTCTGCAGAAGGACTTCCACGAACCTTGGCTCCCGAATGCACTTCTTGGCTTCATTGATCTCACTTTCTTCAAAATACTGTTTGATCATTATATTAAAGTGGTCAATGAAGGCATCTTTACTGGTGACTTCCATACCAACAATTTCTCCATGGGGTTTGTCCAAGATTCCAAAATGGATGGTGCCATTGGTGCGTGAATTCATACAAGCCGATGCAAATCGGAAGACTTCATTGCTAAATTTCATTTTAATGTCCTTTTCTGTGGCTGTGTCTGTATTTGTGAGGGCTTTGAACTCATGTATTGGGTCTATGAGATTGAGTGGTCCTGTTTCAGGTTGTATAAGAAGATAATGTTCTATGTAACGATGGCTGCTGTGGAACTGATCAAAAGGATATGGCATACAAGTCAACTGCTCAGCTTTTAGCTTTTTCTTTTTTTTGTCTTTAGTGGTCACTACTTCATTTAATGCATTTTCTTTTATAAGAACAGATTCTTGTTCTTTGGTATCTCTGATCTCGCTAAGATTATGATCAGTATTGGATGGCATTGACTGTTCTTCTTCTTTTTGTGTCTGTTGTGGCTTTTTTTGGTGTTGTTTTTTGGAGGTTTTTATATGCTCTAATTGTCCAGAATCCTGATTGTGATTTTCAGGGAAAATATTATTCAATCTGTCATACATGCGTTTTATCAAAAGTGCTGGACCCCGTGGTAGCCCCATGTCTCTAAGGTCTTTTTCAGTTAATTCCTGCAGGACTAATCCTGTCACTTCTTCATTGAACAGAATTTGCCCGTATTTCTCATCGATCTTAAGGTCTTCTGTTACCCATTGTTTCACATGCTCTTTGTTCCAGTCTTTGGTCATTTCAGGTAGATTTACTTGTTCACTCATATCACAGCTGGAACTTTCTTCCTTGGAAAAAGTAATACAATAAGTATTTTAGTATGATACTTTATCATCGAAGTCAGTCGATTATATATATAATACTGTTCAAGGTTGAGTCTTAAAACTGCTTGGTACTTATTTTAACTGTTTTATAGTTCCAATTAGCACCCCCTTGTTTCCTATATGATTATGATTGTGATTATGACATAAGCAGTAGCTGCTAATTAGGGCAACACACCCCTTTATCCTTATAATAATTTTCCCTTTTAAGTTTAACTTGGTGAAAGTTGCTTGTTTTCATAACTCAAAACCAGAATCTTAAGTAATAAAGAAATTAGTTCACATAGTTGAATATTGCAAATAAACTTTAAAATACAAAACTGGATAAGTGAATGTGGGTTGGAAAATAGAAAACTACATCCACAGATAGGAAGCTGGCCATTTTTGTTACACGGTAATAAGGCAATTGGTTAACTTATCACTTGTCTTTTGGAACTCAAACTGTTAGGCCGACAAGGCTAGAGCTTTGGGGGATGTGATAGCAAAATGTTAGATAACTGATTTGGTTGGCTAAGTCTTGTGGCCCTCAGAGGTACTATAGAGTTAGCTATAGTTCACACTGGCCTGGCCGGCCTGAAATTAGATAAGGAAAATAGTATGCATTTTTAACTTTGTTAAAACCATTTTAGCCTAAACTATTGATATGAGAGTAATGAAGGTCCTACAATCATGTACTTGGTTGAATTGCAAGTTTTGAATATCCTGAAACACTTGAGATCAGGGGTTCTCAACCTTGGCTCACTGGTACTCCACATTCTGAAATTGATTTAATTGGTTGAGGGAGTGGAGTTTAGGATTAGTACTTTTTAAAAATTGTCCGGAATATTCTATCGTACAGATAAGGTTGAGAGCAGTTCTCACAGTGTAGTCTCTAGATCAGCAGCATCAGCATCACGTGGAAGCTTGCTAGAAATGTAAATTTCCAGACCCCAACCCAGTCCTACTGACTCAGAATGAAAAAGATGAATCAATAATTTTGTTTAAGGGAAAATAGAAAAGTAAAGGTATTATAAGGATAAGTAAACTAAAAGCATTAAGGATCAAACAAAACATTATATTATAAAGAGAGCAAATACAAAGCATATACACTTTTCATATATCCACAGAATATGTATAAAACCATCATGTACATTCATAAAGATGAAAGGCTTTACCCAAAGCATAACATAGAAAGATTAGAAAGGATATTTATCAGACAGAACTGTTTTAGTCTGCCTTTCACAACAGTCTTCACTCTAACAGACTCAGAGCCCAGGAGCTAGAGAGAAGGAAGAACCTTGGAGAAGAGAGACTTAAAATTTTATTTGTTTATGCAAACTGCCATCAGTTAAACTGGAGGTGAGACCAGGCAGGGGTGCTAATCAGTAATGGATGTGGGGTATTCCAGAGAGGAGCTGACCTGTGCCTTGCCCATTCATCTGGGAATCTGGGATTGACAACCTCACAGTGTCATTAGGTTCCTGTGGCATGACAGTCAGAAACTGAGACAGGCTCAAGGAGTGTCAGTAACAGAATGAATAACCCTGGACAGCTTGCCCCCCTCCCTGTAATGCTAGATGATTGCAGGAGAGGACCGTATAACAATGGCAAAGAGTTGAAAATTGGATGAGAAAGAAAAATAATATTAGGTATGTCTTCAGGGATCTCTCTGGTGGGAGAAAAAGATTTGCAGCCTTCTGAAACAAAGAATGAGTGGACCACTGAGGTAGGAATTATTTGACTTCATGGCATGGGGGTGAACACTACTGAGGAACAGTGAAATGAGTTATTTCTTAAAGGATGTCAACACAGAACAAAGACAGATTGTGGCTGATAAATGGATGTCCCCTCTTAGCTGATGCCTCACTAATTTTTGTGTAAAACTGCCTCTCAGCACTAACACTACCAAGAATGTCAAATCTAGGTGGAGAGGGTGGATAAAGGAGAAACAGTCTTAAGTTTCACTTTTTCAACATGATATAATAGAGATAATGAAAGATTTTTTGAAGTCCCTTAGATAGAAGGCAGAATAAAAAATATGACTTCCATGTTATTTTAAACTTCAGTCTTAAAATATTTCAGGCTTTGAGAGTTTGGTGAGTATTTACTTTTTATACATTTTAATGTATTTTGACCTCCATTCTGTAGACAGCTGAAGGGAAGAGACACTCATGCCCTCAGACACTATTCCTGTCATAATTTTTGGTGGCTCAATAGATACGTAGATGATCACTTCAATACATTGGCCTTGCACCCTCTTGACTGCCTCTCGTCTAATGATCTTGACCTCCATCCATCTCCACTCTCATGGGTCACACTATTGGCCTTATCATAATTGTTACGAGTTAAATTGTGACCTCCTAAAATTCCTGTGTTGAATTATTAGCCTCAGTACTACAGAATGTGAGCTTGTTTGGAGATAGGGGTGGTTGCAGATGTCACTAGTTAACATGAGGTCATTAGAGTGGGCCCAATTCAACATGACTGGTATCTTTATAAGAAGGGAAAATATGGTCACAGAGACACATATATAGGGATGACATCATGTGAAGATGAAGGCAGAGATCAGGGTGTTGCCTCTATAAGGCAAGGAATGCCAGAGATTGACAACAGACTACCAGAAGCTAAGGGAGATGCATAGAGCACATTCTTCCCCACAGCCCTCAGAAGGAACCAACCAATTCCTTGATCTTGTAGACATCCAGCCTCCAAAACTGTGAGACAATACATTTTTGTTGTAGAAGCCACTCAGTTTGTGGTACTTAGTTACAGCGGCCCTAGGAAACTAATAGAATCACCAATAGCTACAAGCCTTCCATCATCTCAGATGCAAACATTTCACCATCATCTCCTGCCCCTAAGATTCACTATGTTTAGTGCTCAAACTCTATATTTCTTTAAATGTTTCTTTTTTTTAATATATATATATATTTTTTTTAATATATTTTATTATTTTTTACAGAGAGGAAAGGAGAGAGAAAGAGAGTTAGAAACATCGATGGGAGAGAAACTTCGATCAGCTGCCTCCTGCACACCCCCTACTGGGGATGTGCCCGCAACCCAGGTACATGCCCTTGATCGGAATCGAACCTGCGACCCTTTAGTCTGCAGGCCGATGCTCTATCCACTGAGCCAAACCGGTTTTGGCTCAAACTCTATATTTCTTTAATACCAAGACCTTTAATCACTGATACTATTACTTTCTCACTTTCCTCACCCCTTGTCATGTCCTCACCACCTCTTATTCACTCTGTTTTCAATACAGCAGCCAACATGATCCTGTTTAAATTTAAGTGTAATCACATAACTCTGATCAAGACCCTCCAATGATTTCTCATCTCACTCGGAGTCAAAGCCAAAGCCCTTAGGTAAACTCCTACATGACATGCTCATTCCACTTTTTTAAACCCTCCTCACCTCCACTCACCTTGCTCACTCCACTCCAGCCATTCAGGTTGTCTTGCTGCTCCCCAAACATGTCAGGCATGCTGCTGCATCAGGTCTTTGAAGTAGCTATTCCTTCTGCTGGGAATGCTTTCTCTAGACCAGTGGTTCTCAACCTTCTGGCCCTTTAAATACAGTTCCTCATGTTGTGACCCAACCATAAAATTATTTTCATTGCTACTTCATAACTGTAATGTTGCTACTGTTATGAATCGTAATGTAAATATCTGATATACAGGATGGTCTTAGGCGACCCCTGTGAAAGGGTCGTTCGACTGCCAAAGGGGTCACGACCCACAGGTTGAGAACCACTGCTCTAGATACATAGCTCACACTCTTACTTGAGCCCTTTATTCAAATTCAGTGCAGTCTTTCTTAGCTACCCTTTTGAAATTTCAGTCCTTCCTCTAGTGCTTTCCGTCACCCTTCCCTGCTTCATTTTTTTTAAAAAAGAATTTACATACTGTATTTAATGATCTTCTCATTCTCTGTCTCTGTCTCATTCTCTGAATATAACACCCAGGAGAGAAGACATTTTTGCCTTTTGTTCAGTGGTGAATCCCCTAGTGCCTGACATAAAGTAAGTGCTCAGTAAATACTTGTTGAATGAAGAAATTAAGATTTTTAGAGTAGTGGAATGCTTGAACTATATTTTTGTAAACCCATGAATCAGCGTTGCCTATAAAACAAAGGACTTGGGAAATTTCCTTTTTTCTACCTTTACTCATTTCACCCATCCCCATCCCCTGCCTTTGCAATCACCAATCTATTCTCTGTATCTATGAATTTGTCTTTTTTTTTTTCAATTCAACATATAAATGATATCATACAGTATTTATTCTCTTGTGTCTTACTTATTTCACTTAGCATGTTTTCAAGGTCTATCCATGTTGTCACCAATTGCAAGATTTCTTTCTTTCTCATGGTTGAATTGTATGTATCAACCACATTTTTTTAATCCATTCATCCCTCAGTGGACACTTAGGTTGTTTCTGTAAATAATGCTGCAGTGAACATAGGGGTGCAGCTATCTTTTTGAGACTGTGTTTTAATTTTCTTTGGATAAATACCCAGAAGTGGAATCGCTGGGTCATATGGTAATTCTTTCTATTTTTGAGAAACCTCCTTAATGTTTTTTATTGGTGGCTGTACCAATTTGCATTCCCACCAACAGGGCCTAAGAGCTCCCTTTTCTCTATATTTTCACCAACACTTGTTATTTCTTGCCTTTTGTATAATAGCCAGTCTAACAGGTGTGAGGTGATATCTCATTCTGGTTTTTAAATTTTTTCATTTTATCATTAGATCAGAACCAAATCCAGCTTCCAAGTCAGATGGTCATAATGAGTGAGAAAGGAGTTTTCATTTTTTAAAAAGAAAAGTTGGTAGACATATGTTCTTCATCCACAGGCTCATTACAGCAACCTGAGCCTCGGTTTCCTAGCACCTCTTAGGTTTTTTGCTGTCTCATTTACAGTCCCTGAAGGAGCATGTTTCTCATACAGGATTTTCTATCCTAGGTCCATATGAGCCAGACTTCCAGGGGCCTCTGCTGTGTTAACTGCTCTTGTTACTCTGGGCAAATGGACTCTCCTCTGGAGTAGGCCTTATCATGCTCCACAGACTTACTGTGTTCACATCTGAGGCAGTATCTTATCTTATCCAGGGCACTCCAGCATTCTACAAGAAGCAGCACATGAAGGGGTTCCTGCTTATCAGCCACTGCATGCCCAGAGACGACAGTGTGTGTTTGTGTGTGTGTGTGTGTGTGTGTGTGTGTGTGTGTGAGAGAGAGAGAGAGAGAGAGAGAGAGAGAGAGAGAGAGAGAGAGAGAGAGAGAGATGTGCCGGGAGCCAGTCCACCCTTGCTGCTTGATGCAGTCACTGCAGGGAAGAAACATCTACACAGCTTATGTTTCAAGGGACCTGGAGTATATGACATATGTTTGCTCCCCCTCTTAAGCACTATGTGTTTTAACCAGGACCACCTCCCCGAGAAAGGTTGTTTCCCCAGGTTAGGGGTTAACAGGACTAAGGAAGAGAATAAATCAGTAAATCCCCCTAGTGTTAAAGAAATGCCATGTACTACTTATGAAGAACTTGGACTAAGACTGTTGGCAATAAATTTGGGACTTGTTGGGCCCACATCCTCAGGGGTCTGCCCACCAGGGAAAGCACCAAAGCCTATACCCCTGGAGACCCTCTGACACAGGGCAGTCCCAGGGAAGGCAAGCAGCGAGGCTGGGAGGACATAACCTTTACTGGGTAGGATAAACTCCTTCAGTCACTTCCTTGTAGCTTATCAGTAGAGCAATAGAATAGTGACCTTGGAATAGCCCTTATAATGGAACACAGAGATTAACCTAGACAAAATTAAAATCAACAGAACTAGATAGAGACAGGATTATGGAAATGAAACTAGGAACTGTAGAAGGTTTCCTGAAACATACCATGATGTAATTATAGAGGCATGCTTATGGGATCAAATAGTATAAATATAGATGTAATAGAACAATAAAGAGAGAACCCAACCATACTGATCAACTGAACGCTGTCTCCGTGTCATTCCTTCTTCGCCAACTCCGTCCACACCTTTGGGAACCCCTGGACCTGCTGGGGCTGGCCCCCAACAGATATGGAGCGGGGGGGGGGGGGGGCGCGCGGAGGTTAGGGAGATGGAAGCACCTGTCTCAAATAGGGTGAATAATATCTGTCCTATCCAAACTGGTCTTTTTAACTTATCTTACAGACCCCCCCCCAATTGTTTAAAGATGAAGACCCTTTATAACATAAAAAAATTGCTCAGCTGCCCCCCACCCCCACCCCTTGACAGGAGCTGAGAATGTACATAATGATTTGAAGCTATTATATATTTGGTAATGCTTTCACATGAATTTGTCACTCTGTCAATTTTGAGCATCTTATATGGTCTAAGATCCATATTTGGCTGGAGCCATGTATTTAATTCAGGGTGAAAATAATTTGGGCAAAAAGGTTTTAATAATGCTTTGACATAATTCCTTGGCATATTCAGTGTTTTCAACCTAGTTTAGGGTGATGACTTGTTAATCTATATATATAAAAGGCTAAGTGACCGACCATCCCTCTGTCTGACCAACCTACTGACCGACCGTACATATGATGCCCACTGGCAATTTAAAAATAAACATTGACTTGCACATGCATGATACATATATAGCTCTTGCTGGTGCCAATTGCACATGTGTTTTAATTTTATAATACTATATTATATATACTATTTTGATATGTAATTCTTTGCAGGAACATAATTCCCCCACGAATCTTTCTTCTAATTAATTTCTTTTCAATGTGCATGAATCCATGCACCGGGCCACTAATATTTATATAAAACTTTAGTATACTTCACTGTCCTGAGGCTTACAAAGTCCTTTTGTGAACATTATTTGATTGGATTTATATCCTCAAGTGTTGACATGTTTTTTAAACAAGAGGGGCCTTTATATTTGTCAAGAAGCTACTCAGTGTAAATAAAGGGGGAGCAGCCTGGCCAGCATGGCTCAGTGATTGAGCATTGACTTATGAACCAGGAGGTCATGGTTCCATTCCCAGTCAGGGCACATGCCTGGGTTGCAGGCTTGATCCCCAGTGTGGGGTTGATGATTCTTTCTCATCATTGATGTTTCTCTCTCTCCCTCTCCCTTTCTCTCTGAAATCAATACAAATATATTTTAAAAATAAAATAAAGGGAGGGGGAAGTTGTGATCAGGAAAATAAATTCATGATTTAAATGTGTCTCCTTTCAACCAACCTGTTTTCCCATTCATGGTGCAGGGGAATTGTCCCAGAGCAGAAAGCTGTCTTGGTTATAGTTTTTGTTCTGCTTTTTCAAAAGGGTGAAGGTGTTGTTCTGGTTGGAGCTGGGGAGAAGACCTCCACCTTATCTCCTTTATTCTGTTTTGGGAATATTTTGAACCCCAGAGTTCTCCTTGTGTGTACTTAATTTCAGGATCTATTTCCCAAGGACTTATATTTTCTCTTGGGCGAGGAGTGGGGTGGGGCAGGTGATCAGGAAGGATCAAACCAGCAGGGCAAGCACTTGTGCCCAGCCCTGTCTCTAAGAGGCTGGGCCCTAGAATGTTCTTACCTCCAGGAAGAAATTCTTGCAATCTTGGTTGGTCTCCAGCAGGCCCACGCCCTGCTCTGATGTTCTTCAGAAATGAAACTGCAAAGCAAGTTCATTTTACAAAGTGCACTCTAAAATTATGTGTTTCTATGCATAGTCTCTGTACAAGCTAGTTATGAAGGAAATCCTTAAGTAAAATAATTAAACTTTGGAGGATTTAATCTTTAACTAGATGTAAACTTTTTTATATCATCTTGAATTATATAGGACAGAGTTTGGCATAGCTGCTCTTGGCTACAATTTTCTACTCCATTCCTGATCTTCTGATCTATATTTTACTTAGCTCTTAGAGTCTCATCACCAGAGCCTTCCACCTCCAGAAACACTCTACACTCTCTTTGTGGGAATGTTTCAATTTAAAAAAATCCTGCAGTCAGTGTAAGATACATCTAGCAACATGTATATGAAAGCGGTGAGCTTTCTCATCCTTTCAGAATTGTTTTGTTAGAAACAGCTTATGTACACTTGAAAGTATATTCATTTTCATAGTCCTGATTAGTTTTTAGAATTAGTTTTAAAATATAGCCTTTAAAGAAAGTTGATGAAATATATCTTTAAAGCCCATACCAGGGCTTCACTGAAAACTTCCACTTTTTATATCGGTAACTTGAAATAAGTCTTCATGAGGTTCTTTGATCCAGAGCTGTTAGATTAGTTGCCTTTTTTTGAGTTTGCAAGAGTCATGTTCCGGAAAGCACCTACAAGGAAGTAGAGATGTAGTCAGAACAAACCTAGTCCTGAGACATATTTGTTGAGAATCTGTTACATCAAAAAAAAATTAACGACTCAGCAAATTAAAATGCAAGTGATTGGACTGTTGCTTAGGAATTCTTTATGGGACATCTTTTCCTCTAAACTTTCTACTTTGAAATTTTTCAAACATACATAAGATTGGAAAGAATAGTGAAAGGAACATCCTTCATCTAGCACATCTCTTCTATATTAAATATTTTTAATAAAATCAATAAGCAATCACAAAAATGTTGCGGGCATTCTTTCTTTCTTTCTCTTCTTCTACATTCTACGTTCAATGTGGAGCAAATCCTATAAGCTGTATCTTCAAAACCTGCCCAGCATCTGACTGCTGACCACCACTTGACTGCTGCCACCCAGTCCAAGCCCCCATCTTCTCTTCCTGGGTTAGAGGAGTTGCACCCTCACTAGTTTCTCTCTTGCTTTTATTGATCCCTTTGGGGACAGCTCAAACTAGCCACCGGAGCGAGTCTGTTCAAATGTAAATAACAGACCAACATTCTGTTCAATCCCTCCCAATGGCTTTGCATTTGACTCAGAGTGAAGCCGAGCTCATTATGAACAGGTGCCTTACATAACCTGGCATCCTGTTACTCTTTCTTTCTTTTATTTCTCTCTATATATCTGGTCCAGCCCCCTGATTTCCTTGTTGCTTAAGACAGCAGTGCCTGCTCCTGCTTTGGGAACCTCACTTGTTTCCTCCCCCTAGAATGTCCTTAGACACTTGCACAGCTCACGACCACCACGCATCCCTTAGGTTTTTTTTTATCAGATGGCACCTTCTCACTGAGGCAATGCTTGGCCAGCCTACAGAAAACTGTAAATCATCTTCCAACATTTCCTCTTCCTCTTTCGGCTTTAAAAAGATCTACTTAGCACTAATCACAAGCAAATATTCCACATGTTTTTAACTATTTTCTGTCCCGCTCGTTATTCTGTGAGCTTTATGAGAACAAGAGCTTTTGTACATCTTGTTCACTACTTTACAGTGCCTAGCACATAGTAAGCTTCTTAACTAAAATTTGTTGAGTGAATAATATAGTTTATTAGAGTAGTTAAAAATAATAAATATTTGGAAACCCCTAGGTTGCAATGTCTGTAAGTCAAAGGACTAGGGCACTTATTTCATTTGGCTTAAATTCCAGACAAAAATCTGAAGAAATCTCTTCTGTGCTACCCCTTAGGCCAGAACTAACTCTAACTTCAATCACCTGGTAACACAGAATGAAAAGGAAGTTTTATCAAAAGGAAAGGAACATTAATAAACATTTCTCCTGCAGTCCTTGTCGTGTCCGTATCAGTTTTCTGTTAAGTCACTACATGAGGCCATGCATGACTCATACCTGTTTTCCCCAGAAGAGGCCCCTTCCGACTCTAGGTGCCCTGTGTCACAGCCTCAGCACCTCTGTTGTTTTCATCTGCTGCCCCTGCTCCGGGAACTGATCTTGGGGAGGGCTTTCCCCTTTCCGCAGGACTCCCTTAGAGTCCCCTTTCAGTGATTTACCCATCTACCCTCTCTCTGAATATCCTAAAAATTGAGAGGGCAGAGTCCAGATTTTCTCTGTGGGTTAGCCAGTGATTATTACAATATTCAACTGGGACTCAAATGAAGCAGCACATCAGGAAATTTCCACTGTAGTCCATCCCTTTTTCTTATAGCTCTTTGGCTTGTACACAGCTAGTGGTTCATTGTGTGCTGCATCTAATGTAGGGGATGCTACAAGGGGAACTTGGTGCCATCTGATAGGTGACAGTGTCATTTCACTTCCTGTTAATCAGATTCTGCTAATAGATACCAGGGAGATAGAAATCCTCTTCTCACTGAAACCGGTTTGGCTCAGTGGATAGAGCGTCAGCCTGCGGACTGAAAGGTCCCAGGTTCGATTCCGGTCAAGGGCATGTACCTGGGTTGCGGGCACATCCCTAGTGGGAAATGTGCAGGAGGCGGCTGATCGATATTTCTCTCTCATCGATGTTTCTGACTCTATCTCTCTCCCTTCCTCTCTGTGAAAAATCAATAAAAAATATATTTTAAAAAAAAATCCTCTTCTCTAATAAGGTCACTGACATTTATTCCTCCAAATCTGGAGCTTTCTTTCTGTTACAATGAAAAAATCTCAATATAATATACTCAACTCTTTAATAATGGCCTTGGACTGATAATAATGTCAAAAGTTTCTCAACTTCCTTCCCCCCCACATGGTAACAGTTGTGAACATATAATAATTTGAAGCTATTATATTTAATAATGTTTTTCCAATAATTTGCCAACTTTAAGAGAATCTGCATATATAGTGTTGGACCTAAGTAAAAATAAAAATTACTATGACTGGTGTGGAAAAATATTGCCCATGACTTGACGTAACTCATGGTTTTCCAGGAGCCCTCAGCCTCCTGCTTTGAAACAATCATGAACATAAATCTTAGTAGTAGGAGGAGTAACATTAATTACTGGCAAAGCAGAAACAGGATGCCATTCTCGAGTGGTTAGTTGTCTCTCTTTAGTATTACAGGATAAGTACCAAGTTAGCAGAGCTCTTAGGGACAAGTGCTGGTACCCACCCACCCTCACCTCAGGGGGGTCCTCAGTAGCTCCCAGATAGCTATGCGCTGAGGAGTTCTGCTCTGCAGGACTCTGGGTTGGTAGGGGAAGGACACTTGGGAGGCCTGGCTCTCTCCCAGGACTGCAGAGAAACTGCCGCAAACAAGTTAAGTTTCATTTCCCGAAGTTGTTTTCAAGTTAGTTTTTAACCAGATTCCTGCATGAGATGGATTTGAAGGAAACACTTCGATAGAAAAATAGCCTCTGCAGCGTATCGAATATAAAACTTAAGAACATTTAAGTTACTGAAGACAGAATTTTGCATTATTTCATGTGACCCCTGGTTGCTTTACATTCTTTTATGCTCAAATTCCTGAACTTCATTACATTGTTTCTCCAATTCTTCTTTCCCACTCCCTGCACAACCAGGAACACACTCATCACCTGAAGTACACTTAAAAAGTTAGCCTCAGCCCTGGCTGGTGTGACTCAGTGATTAGAACATTAGAACATAGAAGGATTATGGGCTCAATTCTGGGTCAAAGACACATACCCGGGTTGCAGGTTCAATCCCTATCCCTGCTAGGGCTCATTCAGGAGGCAACCAATCCACGTCTGTCTGTTGGTCTCTCTTTCTCCCTCTCTCTTTTTCTCCCTCCCCCCCCCCCTTCCACTCTCTCTAAAAATCAATGGAAGAATATCTTCCTGTGAGAATTAACAATTAAATATATTGATGTGTATTTTGTCCACTCATATTTACAATCAATTTCAGTATTTTTAGAAGTATAAACACATGTGTTTATATAAAAAGTACAGCTGGAGTTTTTTTTTTTAAAAAAAAACCTGTCCCTTCATAAGCATAAAATAAAGTTTGAATCAACAACTTACCAGGATTTTCCTGAAAACTTCCTTTTTATATAAGAAACAGTTGCTTTCAACCTTTGTTTTCTTATTCCTCTTCTGATGACTAGGAGACATATAATTGTGAGGATCTTTTAAAAACAACAACAACAACGAAATTAAGCCCAAGATGTGACGTTTTCTGGTCTCCCAGTGCTGTGCCTCTTTCTGAGGGCATGACAGTTGCAGGGCGGGAGCAGAATAAGGAAGGGAGCAAAAGAGGAAACAGGACTGCCGGCGGCAGTTTCAGTTTTGCTTGAGAACGTATTTGTTTGGGTTTTGAAGGATATTAAATATTTTAAAATGACATGGCAAAAATTCTCAATAAATTGGAACAATTGCTTAGAAACTATTCACCAGACAGAATTTTAAGTCATAAGAATAAGTAACAGGCTCAGTGGGGGTGGTGGGTGGGGGAAGCTGCAGAAAAAAGAAAACAGAAATACCAAGAGAAAATTCAAATCTCAGTATAATCTGAGTATCTGTTATGGGCTGAATTGTGTTCCTCAAAACTCATATTGAAGTCCTAATCCTTTGTACCTCAGCATATGATTGTATTTGGAGATAGGGTCTTTAATTTAGGTAAAGTGAGCTTATTAGGTTGGATCCTAATCCAATATTGAAACAGGAATGTTAGGGGAAAGTTAGGACAGGTTTAGGAAATTTTAGAAATTTTGGAAATTAGGGGGACCATGAAGGAAGCACAGAGCTGCAGAGCAGCAGATGGTATACTTCCATAGAATGGGAGAGCTGGGAACAGCAAAAGGTCTGTATTTACAAAATAAAGAGAAGGAGCCCTTTCATCCAGAAGGAGAAGAAGAAAGCCCAAAGGTAATCGGAAAACAATAAGGACTGGGGGTGGGGTGGGGAACACCTCACACGTCCCAGGTGAGGTTCGACCTATGAACCCAGGAGTTACTATAGTAACCAGTCTAAGGGAATAGTGACCAATATTTAAAAAAAAGAAGTGGCTCTCACCCAGACTCCACTTAACGTCATCTGGGGAATTTTCAAAGAAGCACATGCATAGGACCTCTAGTAGACAGGCATATATCTCTAGGAAAAGGACCAAGCATCACTGATTTATTTATTTATGTTTTAATCCTCACTGGAGAACATTCTTTCCATTGATTTTTAGAGAGTGGAAGAGAGGGAGGGAAGCTGATGGCATGGGAGGAGAGAGAGAGAGAGATAAACAGAGAAACATCCATATAAGAGGGGACATCAAGGCACCAGGATCTGCAGCCTTCATAAGCCATAGGGAAGAGGAACTCAGCAGGACTCTTCCCCCCTCCCTATTTGGGAGTCTATTCTGTGGGACCCTTTCCCTCTCCCCATGTGGGAGTCTGTACTTGTTCTTCAATAAATCTCCACTTTTGCTATACCACTTTCTGTCCGTAGATTCATTCTTCAATTCTGACGGACAAAGAATCCAGGTTCCAGTCCAAAAATTCCGTTATCAATATGATTGGTGTCCTTGTAAGAAGAGATTAGGACACACAGGCAGAAAGACCAGGTGAGGACACAGGAGTGATATCTAATCTGTAAGCCAAGGAGAGAGACTTCCGAAGAAACAACCCTGCCTCACCTTCATCTCAGACTTCTGGCCTCTAGATATGTGAGGAAATAGTACATTTCTGATTTTTAACCCACCTAGTCTGTGGCTCATTAGCCCTAGCATACTAATATAGTGCCCCTAAAGTCTTCTGTGTGTGCTGAATCACCATTTATTTCATTATCTTTTGAAAAGTAAAAAATTATTTTTTCCATCCTATCTAATAAAAGAGAAACATGGTAATTAGCATACGACCGCTACCCTTCACATTGGCTAATCAGGGCAATATGCAAGTTAACTGCCAGCCAAAATGGCGGCCGGCAGCCAGGCAGCTGGAAGCGAACATGAGGCTTGCTTGCTTCAGTGATGGAGGACTCCAACATTCCCCTCCTGCCTTGCGGCCTCTGAGCTTGCAGTTTGATACATTGTAACAAATATAGAAGCTAAACAAAACCCCAGAAACCAGCTTTCAGCCAGCCGGGACTCAGAGCTGGAGTTATACATTGTTTCGATAATAGAACCCAAATAAACCAGATACCTGCTTTCAGCAGCAGAGGCCTCAGAGCTGGAGCCAGAGCTAAAGCTGGCCCAGAATAAAAAAAAAAAAGAAAAAAGGAGCAGTTGGGAGCTTCAGTCACCCACCAGCCTGAAAACAGCCCTCAGCCCCTTACCCAGACTGGCCAGGCACCCCAGTGGGGACCCCTACCCTGAAGGGTGTGTGACCAGCTGCAAACAGCCATCATCCCCTCACCCAGGCTGGCCAGGCACCCCAGTGGGGACCCCCACCCTGATCCAGGACACCCTTCAGGGCAAACCAGCCGGCCCCCACCCATGCACCAGGCCTCTATTCTATATAGTAAAAGGGTAATATGCCTCCTAGCACCAGGATCAGCGGAGCCGCAAGGCCTCCCGGCACCGGGATTAGCATGACAGGGGGCAGCGCCCAAACCCCTGATCGCCCTGCAGCTCTGTGTGTGACAGGGGGCGGGGCCACAACCTCCCTATCCGCCCTGCTCTGTTCGTGACACGAGAAGGCCCCCCAACCCCCTGATCAGCCCTGCTCTGTGCCTGATAGGGAGGAGCTCCCCAACCCCCTGATCGCCCTGCGGCTCTGTGTGTGACAGGCTGCGGCGCCCCAACCCCCTGATCGGCCCTGCTCTGTGTGTGACAGGGTGTGGCACCCCAACCCGCCCACCCTACGGGCCCTGCTGTGTGTGTGACGGGGTAGAGCCATAACCTCCCATCGGCCCTGCCCTGAGTGTGACAGTGGTGGTGCCCCAACCCCCTGATCGGCCCTGCTCTGTGGGTGATAGAGGGCGGCGCCCCAACTCCCCTATCGGCCCTGCTCTGTGCGTGACGGGGGAGCTCCCCAACCCCCTGATGGGCCCTGCTCTGTGCGTGACAGGGTATGGAGCCCCAACCCCCCTGATGGACCCTGCTCTGTGCATGACAGGGGGCAGCGCTCCAACCCTCTGATTGGTCCTGCTCTGTGCTTGACAGGGTGGCGCCGCAACCTCCCCATCGACCTTGCCTTGAGTGTGACAGGGCGCGGTGCCCCAACTCCCCAATCGGCCCTACCCTGAGCGTGACTGAGGTTGGCATCACAACCTCCCTATCCGCCCTGCTCTGTGCATGACAGGGGCGGCGCCCCAACTCCCCAGTCAGCCCTACTCTGAGCCCGACCAGGGGCTGCACCTAGGGATTGGGCCTGCCCTCTGCCACCCTGGAGCAGGCCTAAGCCAGCAGGTCGTTATCTCCCGAGGGGTCCCAGACTGCGAGAGGGCACAGGACGGCTGAGGGACCCCCCTCCGCCCCGAGTGCACAAATTTTTGTGCACCGGGCCTCTAGTTATGAATATAAGAGTTCATTCAAACTTAAGATATACAGAATATACAAAGAAGGGGGAAGAAAACTAGAGTATCCAAGCACAATCTCCATTTTCCATTATTTAGTTTCTTTCATTTTTTCTATACATACCTTTACAAATATATAAATTTAATATTTAGAAACTTTAACAGATCCTGAAGCTTACCATATAACTTCAAATAGGCAATGTATACTGCCCAGGAATCTACAGTTCTTTATTAAGTTTTGTCTCCCTCTCTGAATAAGTATATTCATAATTCTTTGCTTCCCACCCCTCTAACATTTTGACCACCATCACTCTCACCTGATGACATTTCTTTCTACCTAAAGGACAAAATTGAAACCCTCAAATGGGCTTTCTCACATGCTCCATTCTCCAGGTCTTCAAACTCACCTGCACCCCTACATTCCACTCCTAATTTGTCCCTAATAAGAAGTGACTCTCGCCCTGGCTGGTATTTCTCAGTGGTTAGAGCGTCAGCCAGGCACCAAAGGGCAGGTACCTGGTTGCAAGTTCACTCCCCGCTTTTGGTTGGGCACCTGCAGTAGGCAAGGAGTTGATGTGTCTCTCTTACATCCATGTTTCTCTCTCTCCCTCCCGTCTTCCCTCTCTTCCACTCTCTCTCTCTGAAAACAATGTGAAAAAATATATATCCTCAGGTGAGATTTTTTAAAAAAAAGAAAGAAAAAGAAGTGGCTCTCAACCCAGACTCCACTTATCATCTGGGGAATTTTCAAAGAAGCACATGCATAGGACCTCTAGTAGACAGGCATATATCTCTAGGAAAAGGACCAAGCATCAGTGATTTATTTATTTATGTTTTAATCCTCACCAGAGAACATTCTTTCCATTGATTTTTAGAGTGGAAGAGAGGGTGGGAAGCAGGTGGGGGTGGGGGTGGGGGGGTGGGAGAGAGAGAGAGAGAGAGAGAGAGAGAGAGAGAGAGAGAGAGAGAGAAAGAGAGAGAGAAACATCCATGTAAGAGAGGCACATTGATTGGTTACCTCCTGCACGTGCTTTGACAGGGCCAGGGATGGAAGGAAACTGCAACACAAGTACATGCCCTTCACCAGGAATCTAACCCCTGACGCTTCAGTCCTGAGGCTT